ACACACACACACACACACACACACACACACACACAGAAAGTGATTCGCAAAATCGTCTCAAGAGACGCTCTTGATAACGTGGAGCCGCACGGTTTCGTTTGCCTGCCCTGCTTGCCTGATTGCCTGCCTTGCTTGCCTGATTGCCTGCTTGCTTGCTATTGCTTTGCAAGGATCTTGTACCGAGACGGGGCACAACGCAACGGACAACGGCGAGGAACCGGAGCCGGCCATCCACGGTGAGTCGCTTACGATTACGCTTACGCTATCGCTCAATCTCATGCACGCGTTCAATGCGCCCAGCGCGCCTTCGCCGTACATTAATCGTGAGGGGACTTACCGCCCCTCTGGTCCTTCGGTCATCAAAGCTTTCGACCATTGTTCCACCGGGGAACTGACACCCCCGACAAAACATTGGTCCTTCGAGCCGGATTTTCGCGTGTAGAAAATACCACCGACCTCTCGTTCCATCACTCGCCTCGCTCGTTTGCTCATTAACTTCGCGTTCATAACCGAGGAGCAATAACACGCGGCGTGTTAACATTTTGCGTGATATCTCCCGTTCGAGGCTCACGGCGAGAATACCGCGTAAATCCTCGCTCGTCGTTAACCGCATCAAATCGCGAATTGCAATAGCGCGTGGCGCGTTACAAGACGCAATTCGCGCGATACCTACTCGCGCGGAGCTCGCGTCCGCATAACACGTGTCAAGCCGTTATCTGCGATTAATTGCGAACCTCGCATTTGACGCGAATTAATCGAGATTCAATTAGTGGCCGGAATATTCGGATCGAGAACATTCTCGGCCAAATCACACGTTTCACCTCGCCCTCAGCGGCCCCGGAGCACGGTCATGGGCCGGGCGCGTGTAAACAAGTTTTTTGGCATAGACCCGCGCGCAATAACAAGCGTGATCCTGTCTTCTCGCTGTTGCTGGGTCGATTTCGGTGCGACTCGAAAATATTATTCCGACCGTAGAATTACGAATATTGCCATCGATCGAGAACACTGTTGTTGATACTGGCTCTCGGTACGAAATACTCAACTCTCTGATAAAGCTCGCGGCGATCATTAGACATCGCAGTCTGATTGACAGGAGTTGTAGTAATTATTGCTGGTGTCGTGGATTGTTGCTCGCGTCGCGTGTTGCCACTGTCGTATGTGCTGCTGGTGCCGTAATACCGCGCGCCACATATCACACCGTTGCAATTTCGGTCTGGCCGCAACATATAGATACCGGAGTGCATGTTTCGCTGCAGCCGATTGCCTGTGCCAACCGAATAATATATTTGATTGATGATATATCTGATTGATTTATTATTGTTAACGCCTTTAAAGTTGTGCACTCCTTGCAACACCTCCATCGCTATCAATCCCGTGCCTGACCTCGCCTCTTGCAAACATATACTTCGCATATTTTTACCTAAAACGCCGATTTTGCGAGCGCTCTGCCGCGCGTTCAAGTGAAAATTCGGACGGGACCGTACCCGTCACCTTGGCGGGCGGGACCGCTGTTTTGTTTTTCTGGCCTTCCGAACTCGGAGGCTGTCGTTCTCTTCGTCGGTGTCTGTGGTTGTACCCTAACTCGAATCTTGACACGCGATCATTATGAGCCGGGCCCAGGTTGTTAGGCGCGAGCTCTGCGTTCAGCGCATGAGGGAGATCCACGAGCTGTCAATGCTCGCCGCGGAGAACGTCGCCCAGCGACCGGGTTTCTTAGTCCGTTACCCTACCGTAGCTAGATTAGTTGCAGACTTTAAAGCGGCCCATCTTAAGATTATTCAAAACGCCTCGGACGAGGAGTTCGCCGCGGAGGATATGATTCGGAGGGAGTTCGACACGATGCGTTTCGGGGTGATCGGTTGGTATGAGAAGTTCGTGGGCGCGGACCACGCGTCCACCTCAAACCCTCAGGCGCCGGCTCGGGCGTCGTCGATCAAACTACCCAAGATCCCGCTCCCGCAGTTCGCGGGAGACCTCGCGCTTTGGCCCTCGTTTATCGCGTTGTTCAACGCCTCGATCCACGAAAGCCAAGACCTCTCCTCTATGAAGAAGTATCAGTACTTGGTGGCGTCGTTGAAAGGGGAGGCGCTCAATGTCGTAAAAAACCTCCCCCTCTCTGCCGACAATTACGCGATTGCTTACGACGCTCTGGTTTCGCGATACCAGAACAAGCGCGACTTGACGGATTACCACGTGGACTCGATGTTGAACGCCAAGCCGTTGAAATCGGAATCGGCCGCCCCCCTGCGCACGCTATTAGATACGTTCGTCGAGAACACGCGGGCGTTAAGCTTATTAGGGTTTCCTACGGACGCCTGGGACTACCTCCTTCTCAAGTTCTTGCTAGGGAAACTCCCTCGTTCGCTGCGAGAAAAATTCGAGTCCGAGCATCGGGCCGAAGAGATGCCCAAATATACGCAACTCATAAAATTCCTCACCGAGCATTGCCGAGTTCTCGCGTCCGTGTCGGGCATATCAAGCTTCGCGCAATCGCCGTCGTCTGCGCTGAAGGGTTCCGCATCAGCCTCGGCGTTTGTGACGAACACAAAAGACTGCCCGGTGTGCCAAGGGCAACATATTGTTTACAAGTGCCCGCAATTTCTGAAACTGTCCCCTAGGGAAAGACACTCCACGGCGAAGACCGCGAACCTGTGCATTAATTGCCTCCGCGCGGGTCATGGCACCGATAACTGCTCGTCGACAGGGACGTGCCGGTCATGCCGGAATAAGCACCACACGCTGCTACATTTTGAGCGGAGTGCGAACTCAGCGAGCACCCCCGCGAGCGACGAATCCGCGAACGAGCAAACTTCGCCGCCGCCAAAGAGCGAGCCCCTCGTCACTATGACGAGCACGGTAAGGTCAAATTCGGTCGTATTGTTGTCGACCGTACAAGCCGAGGCCATCGACATCCACGGAAACCCCTTTCCGGTTCGCGTCCTCCTCGATAGCGCCAGCCAGCTGAATTTTGCTTCCAAAAGCTGTATGCAAAGGGGCGGTTTTAGTCGGACAAAGCACCGTACCGTGGTGTTGGCGGTCAATAATACAAAGGCGGCAGCCACTCGAGGCAACACCTTGTTTGTAATCCGGGCGCGAGGCCGGGACGACATCCGCCTCCCGATAGAGGCTACGATTCTTCCGCGTATCGCCGGCCAACTGCCTAACAGTCAGGTAGAACGAGGAGCATGGGAACATCTTGAGGGATTGAGGCTTGCCAATCCGCTGTACCATCAACCCGGTCCCGTCGATATACTGCTTGGGGCGGAGAACTTCGCGTCGCTACTTCGGGACGGTCGTCGGGTGGGAAGGAAGGGCGAACCGGACGCGTTTAATACGGTCTTCGGCTGGGTCCTGGTCGGCGCCGTGTCGGCACAGGCACCTCAGTCTACCCACTCATTTGTTACACTCGAGTCCTTAGACGCATCGCTTAGCCGTTTCTGGCAGTTGGACGAGATCCCCACGGCTTTGCCGTACTCGCAAGAAGACAGACGTTGCGAAGAACTGTTCGCGCGGACCACGTGTCGGGACCCTGCATCTGGCCGGTTCGTGGTATCATATCCCTTCACAAAGGATAACCCTTGCTTCGTCGGTACGAGGGAACTAGCACTAAAGAGATTTCGCGCGCTCGAGCGCCGTTTCAAATTAGACCCAGACTTCAAAACAAATTACGTTAAGTTCATGAAGGACTATTTAGATAACGGTTACATGAAACCGATTGGGCAGCCGTTCCCAGCGGACGGACGCGTCTTCTATCTACCCCATCATGGGGTACTCAAGGCCGATAGCACGACCACGAAATTACGCGTCGTATTTGACGCATCGTCTAGGGACCTAAACGGTGTCTCGCTGAATCAGGTATTGCAATCCGGTCCAAAACTACAAGCGGATATATTCGTAATATTGTTGAGATTCCGAATCGGCCGCGTGGCGCTTACCGCGGACGTTAAACAGATGTTTCTTTGAATCCTGGTCGAGCCCGGTCATTGTAATTACCAGCAAATAGTGTGGCGCTTCTCCGGGGACGAACCGACCTTAGACTACCTCATGTTGACTGTCGTCTTCGGGTTAACATGCTCTCCGTTCCTGGCGATCGCTTGCCTGCTGAAGCTGGCGGCTGAAGGCAAGGTAAGCTACCCGTTGGCCGCAGCCATCTTGGAGGAGAGCGTTTACGTCGACGATGTGGTGGCGAGCGTTGACTCGGAGGGAGAGGCCCGTGAGCTCCAGCGTCAACTGCAAGCCTTGCTTGGGGCTGCCGGCTTCGAACTCCGCAAGTGGGCTAGTAGCTACCCATCAATCTTAGCCAATCTCAGCCCAGAACTTTGTAGTCAATCTCATTTGAATCTCCTGAGGAGCAATTCCTCAAGGTTCTCGGCCTTCATTGGTATCCACAAACGGACTACTTTGGCTTTCAAGTCAATCCCTTGGACCGGGACTGCACTAAGCGCACCATTCTTTTGGAGTTAGCTCGCATTTTCGACCCATTAGGCTTCCTGACGCCGCTCACTTTCGCGGCCAAGCGGTTGATCCAGCGACTCTGGATGCTCAAGCTGGAGTGGGACGATAGGCCTCCCCCTGAGATATGTGCTAAGTGGGAAAGGTACAAATCGGAGCTTCCCGCGCTGGCTTCCATTCGCATACCCCGTACCATCGCAACAGACACCGTAATCAGACGAGAG